TTGCTTATCATAGGGGGAACTTAATTATTCAAAGCTGGTGGGCATATTTACTTACAGGGGTAAATTAAACCATAAATTCAGACAAATGTACCTACATCTCCAGTCATGATGTATTTTCCCTTTCTGCTTTGCTGGTGCTTGGGCTCCGAGACACAAAGGTGGGTTGTTCAATAAACAGTGCAACGTAAGTCATCCCAATTAATTGGATTGTTCTATTTATGCTGCTACTCCCTCCAATTAATGCAAGGGAGTGCAAGTGACAGGCACGAGTAACACGAGTGCGCAGAAAACCATATTCTAATGCAAAAGCTGTGATGAGAAAATGGAATCTACGCACCTGACCGGAATATTAATGCAAAACCTTGACCTATAATTTTTCTTTCTTCAGTCTGAGAAAGCCAGCAGCTCATTAAAACGGACCATGTTCTGATAGTCATGCGTAATGCCCACGTCTCGCTTCAGCAGCAAGGCAAACGTTTAGCCTGTGGGACTTGTAGGGACGTGGGCATGATTACAGAGCTGCACTGTCCTGCACAGCTCCGAACAGGAGACTGCAGCCAACCCTGAAGACCTCTTCTCCCTTTCAAATCCAGTGTCACAAGAAAAAAGAACAAGAGGGGAAAAAAACCAAAAGAGAATCCCAGATGCCTGTTTGGATTGGATCTCTGGAGTTCATCTGGACCATCCCCCCGCTCAAAACAGGGCCAGCTTAGAAGTTAAATTCAGTTAACTTTCAATTTAAATTCAGTTTGAAAGTTAGCTCAGGTGGCTCAGCACTGAGGACTTTCAAGGATGGAGATTTTACAGCCTCTCCAGGCAGCCTGTTCCAATACTGTCTTGTCAGGGCTCAGTCTGGAAGCCGTTCACCACAACAACATCTGGCTCTACTTTCTTAACTGTTTTCTCGATGCAAAGTGCGTGTTGGCATGTGGGATGCAATAAGCATCAGTAGGGAAGGTGATATCATCACGCAAAGACAATTCTTTCGCAAGGAAAAGAGATCAGAAACCAGTCCCACATGAGACAGGGTGAGAAGGAAGATACTGCAGTGTTTTCATCTGAGTTTGGGGCCGCTTTTCTCCCAGGCACTGCCAGAGGAGTTCCTGAAGTTGGAGCGACCAAAGCGTTCTCCAGTGTGGGCTCGGTATTTGGCAGATTTGGGACGTCAGGGCTGCGGGAAGCTATGGCCGAGCAGCCGACACAACTGCACCTCTCTCTCTCCAGGGAGCAGGGAGGTCTGTATCCCTCTCTGGAGGCATCTCTCCCTCCCCTCACTCCCTACGGAGAGAGCCAAAGCTTCCTAGCCCTGACACCTCTGATATGTGTGAAGACGGATGGCTTGAATGCAGGCCTAAAATATTTCACATTTTCACGGTAGTTTCACAGCCCTGGCATTATCAAATGATCTTTCGATGTACTTGGAAGCAGGAGGAGAATAACTTGAGATGGATCCTGGCTTTTTTGTGTCTGTGTACTTGCAAACTGTCTCTGCCTACACATCTCGCAGGGCCCGCGCCTGTTTGGATACGCACACGGAGAACCGGTGCTTGTGCTGATGCTCCGTCTGCTCCGTTCCCCTTCTGAAGCTTCGAGGCTGTTCAAAGCAGGTCCCATCCCTGGGTGGCTGAGACCAAACTTGCCCTATGTGCTGTACTCCACTGACCAGGCTAGCTAGGAACTCGAGGCTAGGAAACACAAGACAATTTAAAAACCTGAACAAAAGTAGGAGATTAAGGAAACCAGCTGGAAACCTCTATTTCGCTGGTTTTGAAAGCAAAATGTGGGTCACAGATGTGCTTCCACAGACAGAAACTGGCTAGAGAAGAAAAAGACATCAGCAGTGCCCAGGCTCTTTGATGATCAGAGGTAGATTTAGCTCCTAGGCATGGAGACAAGAAAGGAAGAGGAGACGAAGTCGGAATAAAAACATAATCAAGAGATTAGGAATGTGGAACTCAACCCACCCATAAATTTGCCTTAGGGAACGACGAAAAAATGCAGTAACAAAGAAAGATGAAACCAAGTGCTACATCTTACTCTCTTCCCTTCTCTTCTTCTTCTGTCCTTATGGTTTTATTTTTTGCTGTCCAAGACACAGGAGGCCCATTACAGAACCTCCCCTCTTCCTCAGCCGTCTTTTTTTTCTTTGCAAAAGTGCTTTTTTCTACTGTTCCTTCCCAGTAGCTACGAAATCCTTGCTAAGGACAGGCTGAGCCTATAAGAAGCAGAGCTTTGCAGGGGAGTCCACACCGTTAGGCAGGCACTCATGGGCGAGTAGAAAGCAATGTCCTCCTGCCCATCTTAGATAGGAGAGAGGAGCTATTACTCAGTTCTTGTTTAGGCTAATATAAAATATTAAATCTATTTTCAGTGAGATTAATGGTAGACTAATAAGAGCCATGCTGCTAGCTCTTGCAGGCTGTAGATTAGCCTGTGACTTTGTCTCCCAGGTGCTGTGACAGAAGGCCCGTTGTTTGGCCCATGTAAAAAAACCCCACAGTAAAACAGTGGAAGAGCGACGTAGGATAACGGCAGCGCTGACTCATAGGAGACCGCTCCTGTGCTGAACAGCCATGGAGAACCATCTCTGACTCCTACAACTAACTCCCCTCCTGCCAGCGAAACACCAGTCCCCGTGGCTTAACACCAAGGGAAACTTGAAATAAGAGTGATGCTACTCCAGCGAGCTGCCTCTCACTATTTTTCCAACTTTGGGGAACTTCGGATTCAGCTCTTGTCTGGAATTTATTTTTCTCAGCCCTAATGAAAACACATTTCGTAGTTGCTAGTGTTTTAAATCCAATATGAGTGTCAATAAAGACAAGCCCTTTCCCAGGGGAGGGTTAAAAAAAGCCAACAACAGAAAACTGTCTCAAATCTTTCACTCATGCAGAAGAAAACAACCCCAAAGCATCGAAGGATTAAATGAAAAATGTGCCTCTTTTCCCTGGGAGTCCACCGGGCGTAAATAAGCGCCGACTGAGCTCTCACTTGCATCACCATCTGGTGTGATGGCACCGGGGCCGGGAGGTGCCGCGGGACGTGTTGCAGTGCCCTGCCCCGTGACAGCAGCCCCGCTCCCGGTGACGGAACCACCAGCGGCTCCTGAAACCGCCGCAGGTCCCTAAACGCGAAGGACTTTGTTAAAGTCGGCTTCGTCATCCGACCTAGCCCGGAGAAAGCAAGTGCCCCAGCTGCAGCGTGATGCACAGCGCAGCTGAGGAGAGAGGCAGCACAGAGGGATCGCGCAGCCTACTCTGGATGCGAGAGATTTTATTAATGACACCGAAATTCATTTTGCTGGGCTGCAACCACATGTTGGTATTGCTGTGAAAGCCACAGCAGAGAGCCTCCCCGGGTGACGTCTAGAAACTGCTCGTGGTTTTGGAGCTCTTGCTGATGAATTGCCCAGCAGCTGGTCACATTGGGAGGGCTGGGCTTATTATTTTCAGCTGCTATCTTGCAAGGAAGGAAAATCAAAATAGTTTCCTCAAGGTAACTGGCTCTAGAGCAATTGAAGAATTTTCCACAAGGTTGTAATGCAATTAGGACTGGCATTTAATCTAATTTATATCTCTAAAGGTATGTTTATGCCATCGGATTCTTCTTCTGTGAAAAAACCAAAACCCCAAAAACAAAAAGAGATTTTTTTGCGATTACAGGCAGTGAAATACAGATTAAACACGGGCGTCCACCTAGCAGTGATTAAAAGGCAGCCTAACGTCAGGATCATCGCTGAGATGTAGTCGCTCACGGTGAGAAACGGCTGGGTAGGATGCTGTGACTCCAACCCCACATCTGAAGGTTTCCCATTTGGTTTTTGGTCACTGCCAAGCGATGTGTCATCACTCGCCTTCTGCTGCAGCGCTGCAAGAGCCGAAATAATCCTGCGCTCCCTGACTGCCCTGCCAGCTTGGATGGGAGGAGTCGGTGCAGACTGGGGACGGTCAGGCCTCCCACACAGAAGAAAACCACCAGCCACGCCGGTGCTTGGGTCTGTGTTTTGATAGATATGCAGGAAACCCCTAAGCAGGCAATCCAAACACGCAATATCGCCTCCATTAGTCAGCTGGTGAACATGTTGACACGGGATATTGTGAAAGCAAAAAGGACGGACGCAGCAGTCCCCCATCACCATTTAGGGAAGCCTCTATCTCCTCGACTGCCAGAAGGTCCAGGGATTAACTGGGGAAATGACCACTCTGCTTGCTCGTTCCTTATGCTTGTACTTAACCAGGCTTTACCGACTACTGCCCAAGACACAGCACAGGGCCAAGGACACTTTGCCTGATCCGCTTGAAATTCTGGGATGAAAAGCTTTAGCCTCCTTGCCTAGGTGTAGGCGAACAGGTTGGATGAATTATCTGTCGAAACGAGTCTAAAACTGGGGAGGCTCTCAACATTTCTTCAGAGGCAAAGCAGCTGCTTAGGGGTAGATATTCCGTCCTTAGGATGGGATGAACCAAAGCCAGGGATTCAGACAGTCACCATAAAAACCAATCTGGATGTGGTCCCTAAAGAGACGCCACCAACGGTATTATGAGACTAACGCAACGCCACTGTAAAAGCAGATTGCCATGGTGGCAACCCAGCTGCCTGTCAGCACAGAGTATGACTGTCAGAAACGCAACCCTGTGAGCTGTACCGCTAGAGAGAGCACGAGATCACACCCTTCTGTCACCTGCCAGACAAACGAAGGAGCCATCAGTCATGTCCCTAGGTCGATCTGCTCCTGCTCACTAGATCCAAGTCAAACCTACCTTGAGCCATTTGGGAGCAGTTTGGGAACCTGGCCTTGGGGTCATGGACTGGCCAGAGGGGACACAAATGTCCTACCTGACCCCTTCTGCCTTGCAGCAGCCTGTGACACAACACGCATCCCAGACTGCAAGCAGAGTCGTGTTCGCATCTGCTGCTATAAGGTCATTAACTTCAGTTAAACCTTTAACAAGCCCAAATGCAGCTTCTTAACAAAAAAGACCGTGGACAGGGATACTCACTATTGGGCTGAGTCGTTAAGTTGATATTCCCGGGACCGGTTGAAGCATTCTTGGATCCCAGAGTCTGCCCAGAGTCTCATCATAGCTGACAGCAGCTCTGGAGAGAAGGGCTCTGTGTCCTCCATCCGACTTACGACATCGCAGACCATCTTGGCATCAGCCTGCAGAGGAACGAAACAAGAGATCACGGAGATGCTCAAGGCAGAATTGGGAGCCAGACATTTCAGAAACAGTTCACCAAACGAGGAGGAAAGAGGCTCTGTTTTTTGGGGTGGGGCTTTAGGATCCACACTGTTAACGATCCTGTGGAAAGGGCCAAAGGAGGACAGAGCAAGGAATGGAAAGAGTTTATTTGTGCAATCACGCCAACAAATATTCAGTATTCAGCAGACATACCAGTTGGCACTGTGTGTGTGTGTAGCTTCTTGGGAACAAAAGGAAATTCATATATGTACTTTTCAAATTGTTAGCAAAGTGAGGCATATCCTGCAGTGATGCTGCTTTTAACCTAGTGTCTAACCTCGCTGAAGCAGGGGCTGGGCATATCAGAAAGGCCAGCAGAAAGGCCCCAAAAGCAAATATTTTTCAGATGCTGATTTACCGCTTTTCCTGAATTCTTGTTCTGTGCTATGAGCCCCTGCTACAGGGGCTAATTCTCATTACCACAGACCACCTTGGCTGGCTGTCACGTGTTGTGACTCAGAGGGAGAGGAATCTCCCGCAGGGAAGGAGTATGGCAGCGAGGGCAGGGCCAGCTGGCCCTTATCGGATGGAATCTTTTTTTGGTGAGAAAAATGTGATTCATTGGGAACAGTAACTTTTCCTGGAGGACAATGCTCTGGGTCCGCAAGATGTCTCAGATTGAGGATGGGAATGTCTAGACAGCCCTGGAATGGCTGAGTTCAGCTCTTCAGTTCAGCCCACAGCAGCTGACACCTCACTCGTCAGCAAAGGAGGACACCCAAATTCATAACCCCTCTCCACTTGTTCTGCATAAAGTGGATCTCCTCCATCTTCCCCAGACTCCTGAAACCCCGGGGGTGTTGGCTAATCTGCAGAGATTTCCTTCCATTGCTTTGAAAATTTTGGAAAAACTCTCCTATTTCTGCCAGCTGAAACAAACCCAATTATTATTGCTACAATTAATTGGAAAAGCAGGTTCCTTCTTGGGTCATAGGTACAATTAGAAGGAGAAAAGTGCCAACGCTGGAGAGCACCGCAGTAATTGCATGGGTGGGAAGGATAAGGTGTATGATACGGCTTTGCATGACCAGGACCAAAACTCCTTCACAGCTTCTCTTTATTGAATAGTGAAATTGTTGAAAAATCACAGGGCTCCAAGCCGCTGGCACTGGAGCTGCTGGAGATTTCAACACTCAGAGAAAGAGCCTCAAGTTCCCCCCTCAGTCTTTTTATGGGCTGAAGAAGTGTCAGTACTGTATGGAGACACCACCCATAAAACTTAAAGGCGTGGAGTCTTTCCGCTTTGAAGACTTTATGAACAAAAAGTCTTTCTTGCAGAATGTTTCATATCTCAGCGCGCTCCGCCAGCCCTCTGTGCAGGCTCTGCTCGGTTTGGAGAAGCAGGGCTGGTGACTCACACCTCAAAGCCAAGACAAACGAAGAACCTTGAAGAGTCCAGTTAATTTCAAAAGCTTGTTTTCTGCCCCGGAGTGCTTCCTGAGCTCAGTGAATATTCATAAATCATCGGTACAGTTTGCCTGCACTGCTGTAACTCCGCTCGTTTCACGGCCTCTGAATAACACAAAACCTGCTAATGGCCAGCCCGCTCGGGCATGCAGTCTGGCACAGCCCCGCTGCTTGTGCATGGGTGGTGCAGAAGAAGCCTCCACACGTTCCGTCAGGTATGAGGGAGGTCCTTCATTTGTGATCCTGACTACCAGGGGGGTGTTGCAGGTGTAAGTCACAGATCTATCTATTTGTCTGTGAGGGCAAAGCACATATGAAGCCCTCCCACTGTTATGGGCAGGGTCTGGGCTTCTTCCGAGCTTTACGGGTTTAAGTGCAGGTGGCTTTCTGCAAAGCTTCAGAAGGAACAGCACGGTCATTGCATTTCCTGGGCTAGGAAAGAGCTGCCTCACCTTTTCCACCACCGAGACTTGGGGCAGCCCCCTGTGATTTGGGACCCAACACAAGAGGGTTTGAGGACAAGGCAGGGCACAATGGGAGTGACCAGGGAGAGGCACCTCTGGCTGTCATCAGCAGGTTTGCTTGGGCCAGACGCGGGGCTGAGCTCACAGGGCAGGGGATTATTTTGGTACGTGCTCCCCAGCAGTTGCTTGAGGTCCCTTTTTTGGGAATGGGAGAGGTTGCCTTCCTGCAGCACAAGCAGCTCCCTGCCAGGCAGACCGAGAGTCGACAGGCTGGAGCCGGGGAACAGCTCGTAGGAAAGTTTATTGCTCCCGCTGAATGGTAATAAAAACATTCTAGACTTAGTTTTATCTTGCAGAGTGAACCATTGAACTCTCAATTCCATAGTCCCGAAAAAAGCAGGTGAGACAAGTGTTTTTAAAAATCCTGCTCCCCCCTGCCAAGGATGAAGCCCCTCTGTCAAGAAGCATGGGGCCATCCAGGAGCTCAGGCATTTGTTAGATGATTTAACGAGCAATTAAGGATCCAAGAAGAGAAGGTACCCCTTTCTTTTCTCACTCTCCAGGCTGCGTCTCAAGCTGGGAATGACATTAAAATCTCCAGCCCCCCCTGGGCCCAGCAGGTAGATTTTTAAATACTGCCTGATTGACTTTTCCCTTCCCGCCTCCCCCGGGTCTGGCGCTCCCTGCTTTTCCCGAGGTGAGAGGAGCCGAGCCTCCTGCCACGCTCTGCCTCTGTACTCAAGCCAGCAATTAAATAAAGCAAAACAAAACAGACCAACCCGCCCCTCCTCCTGCCTTGCTCTTCCCTTCCGACGGGCTTTTCACTAATGAATATCACGGTGGTATTTTCAGCTACCTTGGGAGCTAAAAACCAGGCTGGGAGGAGGACTAGGGCTTGGGCTGGTCTCCTTCAGGCTGGTTTTCTTCCCTGGTAGGAGCATCCCAGCCCATCCCCGCAGCCTTCCCATCCTGCTGCCGCTTCCCAAGGGTTTGCATTTTGCTGTAGCAGGTTGTTTTGTTACTCAGAGTGGGGTCTGCTGAGCTCTGGGTCACCCCTGAATGTGCCCACCTACAGCGCGAGAACTTAGAGCTGGCTGGGCTTGGCCTGGGGAAACGGCTGAGCTCAGAACCCCTGGGATGGGAAATTCTACATCCAGACATCGAGCTAAAAGACCAAAAACCCCTTTGTTGAAGAACAAAGTTCTACACCAGCCAGGGAATGGAGGGGCTCTGCAGGGCCAGGGCTGGGTGGGGTTTTACATGACAGGGAAATCCATCGGCAGATGTGAACAAGAAGAGAAGCTGGTGAGCTCCGTGGGAGGAGAACACCTCTCCTTTCCAACCAACCAAGTGTCATGCGTCTACCTTTGCACCAGACATATGGTATAAATCCAGTTCATAAGGGGATCTGTTTTCTCACTAACCTGGACATAACCACAGTTATTTAATTGTCTCCCATATGTCACTGTCACTGAGCACACAGGCTGTGCTCAGCAAGCAAACTTGTGACTTCGCTTGCAACAGCCACACAGCCCAATTAATTTGCTACCTTGCTGGAAGGGAGAGGGGCTCTTCCTAGCAGCCCGGCATTACTGGCGGTCACGTCTGTCTCTGCGAGCAAGTTATTTTTCATCACGCTGATACAGAGCACTCCTAATTATCTGTGCTTCACCATGGACTGTGCCCACGAAGGCGCCAGCACGGCTGCTCCTGCCCTGGCTGCCCCAGGCCTGCACTGGGACTCAGGTCCCCATCGCTCTGGCCATCTCAGGGTAAATCCTGGATCTGATGCTGGGAAGTTGCCTGCACACTAACTAGGGGATTCTTTTCTTCAGAAAGGAACAGTCTTCTGGAAGGGGAAAACTTAAGGGCAAGGCAAAGCCTGATGCTCTGTGGTACAAACCTGCTAACCCCTACAGAGCTGCACTGACGCACACCCGCAGAGGCGCTGCGCTGTGCTTTCCTTTTGGTGAATCCCAGTAAATACCATTTTTGCTGTTATTTACTCTGATTAATCATACTTGTCACTCAGCCTATCTCAAAGGTTAACACTGGGGACATTTCTTCTGGTGGCTGGTTGTGCAAAGCTGCATCTGCGAGCGTTTCAGAAAATCCCTGCGGCTGGGGGAGAAGATCAGCACTGGGTTGTGCTGGTGGCGCAAGACAAACCAGAGGCGCGGTACTAGCCAGCAGCAAGCAATCTTGTGAAAAAAGTAGTGGCCATCATCCGTCAGGAACCTGGGGGAAATCAAATGGATGTCTTGAAAGCACCCAGCACAAAAGATTCCCCTGGCGGGGCACCTTGTTGGGGGACCCTTGTCCTGACCTCACAGCACAGCAGTACATGCCTCTGCTATTCCAGTGAGAAACTTGAGGGCAGAACTTGGCTCATAAACAGAATACCTCCCTACAGAGCCTCTCAGAAATCTGGACCCTGCTTCCCAGCTGAAGGGTGGCTTCATCACCTCACAAGCCAGTTATTTCCATGGCATTTGCAGCCTGAATGAATTGTGGAAACAGAGCAGGGCTGGTGAATACGCCTCTTGCAGAGACATCTAGGGCCCAGCTCCAAGTCCATAGGAATTTTGAATAAATAGCTACACGTATGAGTCTCCCCCTCCCTCTCCCTCTCTTTCTCACACATCTGTGTTTCGGAGCTGACCTCTGAATCTGTGGAAATCTGTCTGGCACGAAGCAGCTGCTGTGCATCGCAGGAGAGACAACCTTCTCC